TCTTGACAGACACAGCATTCATTAAAAGCATGTACACTTAAAATATGCTAGATTATATAAAAAATATATTTCTCATATTTAACCATGTAATTCTTAGGTTTAATCAAACTGATTTTAAATTTTAGCATGACTATTATTGCATATTGCTGAATAAATAATAACTTGCTGAATAAATAATAACTTTAAATAATAACAACTTTACTTTTTAGCCAGATTTATTTATTGTTTAAACCTATGGGACTTTTATTCAATTTTTTTTATTTTATTTTTCTAGAAACTAAATTTCTTGTAAACTAAATTTCTTGTAAAAAAAATCTACAAGTTATTTAAATAACGCAAGTGTTAATCATTTTGTAAAAAAAAAATTTATATAAAATAGCTGGTAAAAAAATTAACTATTTCTCAGTTTTTATTATCATATGTTGCTATTCGACGTTTTTAGTTTATTACTTACTGACTAATACAAAAAAAAAATTATTTTAGACAAAACATGATTGTGTCGAATTTCAAGACTAATACCAATTTTTCTCAAAAAACCAGTAGCAAAATAAACATTCTATTACATTAAATAATCATATTTATTTTAAAGAGTTTATTATTCATCACAAGGTCTAGTTTTATGAAAAGGGCTAGATATAAAAGTAATATAAAAAAAATTTTGAAATTGGTTTTCTTAATGATTAAATCAAATCTGAATTGATTCATGAACTGATTGATGAAAATTTTGTTTTAATGTTTAACATTTAAAAATTAGTGTTGAAGAAGTTATTTATCAGTCAGGTTTTTAATAATTAATTAATATTAATTTTTAATAATTAATAATAACTTTCCTTATGAAACTGTTTTTTTTTTGTCTTTGGCTAGATAGTAGAAAAGTCCTGTTTTTGTAGTTGGTACATCAATTTTGCAAAAAATGTGAATATTTGAAATAAAGGGTATGTACTGGTGACCATTTAAAGGGTATGTACTGGTGACCATGGCTTGGTCGGGAAGCGGGTGCGATCGCACTCGATAATTGACCACGGAAATTGTATTTACTTGCGAAAAACCGGCCAGATTTTTCAGACGTTTTGAGAACATTTAAGTTTATGTATGTTTCCTTGTTTGTCCCCAAAATAATTTATTTATTATTTTATCGTAAATTTTAAAATATTTTGTTTTACAGACGTACATGGAAACTTATATAAACTTGAATGTTGTCAAACATCTTAGTGCAAAAAAATAAATAAAGAATATTCGCGAACACAAAAAACCCGCCAAATTTACAAACAACTAATTCTATTGGTTCAGTTAATAAATAACTGAAATTACTAAAGAATTCAAGCGAATGTTCTAGAGTATTCTGTTGAATTATTTTTCAAAATCGTATAATTTGAGTTTTGTTATGTTTTCATTGAGATTTCTAGCATCAGTTGTTTTAAGAATATACTATCAAATGAACAATTATTTTAATACAATGGCTCATTCTCGGAGTCACATCTACATCTAGCTATAAATGTTTTAAACTAACATTTGTTTACAAAAATAAATGTTTTAAATTTGTATTTTTTAACTTGTCAAGGTTTTGTAAATATATTATAGATTTAATTAGTATAATCTTATTTTTTATATATAAGGGATGTATTTATATGTATGTAATGCATTAGAAATTGGTTTATTAACTTCAATTATTTTTGCTTCAGCCATTCTTACAAACTCGTTATACTCACATTTAAAGTTACATTTTTCTGTAAAATACTAGTTAAAGATATAAAGCCCACTCACTAAACATCATCAGCGATATTGTTAAGCAGTTCCGCTTCCTCCTTACAAAGTAATTTAGCGTTTTTAGTTAATTTCTATCTAGCTAATTAAATTTCCACAGTAACTCAATGATTTAGTTATTTCATTTGTTCATCTTACTAAGAAGAATTGTTTCAAATATGTTAAACTTTTCAAACTATGTGAAGCATAAAACAGGTACTGAAAAAACTTTTTTTATTTATAATTAAATTATGTAGCTTTAGTTTTATTGGTTTAATCTTGTTGGACTTTACAGGGCCGGGGGCTGCATTATTTTGGTGGCCTTTTTTATGTGCGACAGCGTAAAAATGACTTAAAAATACCGATAGGTCCTCTTGACTATTTCTCGGCCCATAACATTGTGTCCCGGGACTATAACTCTACTACCCCCCCCCACCTCTTATTTCCAGCACTGGAAATAAGACATAAATATATAAATAAAAATTATATATAATCTTTGATAAATTGAAGAACATTTGTTTCTTTATTAAACAATCATTGTTAGTACGTTGCTACTATATACAAAAAATGTCGCGCTTTTTTTTAAAAAAAAATTATAAAAGAGCGGCGTTTCAAAAATATTTGCTCTGATCGTATTTATTTTGCTTAAAGTTTTTTCGCATTAAAAGCTATTTTTCTTTTTTTAACTGTCTCTCATCGGTCCAGTTTATCTTAATGCCTTTTTTGCTTATTTTTGAAATGTTCTCAAAAGGCCTAAAAAATCTGGCCGGCTTTTCGCAATTAAATATAATTTCCGTGGTCAAATATCGAGTGCGATCGCACCCGCTTCCCGACCAAGCCTGATTTAAACAATACACAGGGCCATTTGGACACATAAATTTGATGAGTATGTTTTTTCCTTCTAGATTAATGTCTTTAATGACTACTATCCACCGTATTTGTTCATAGGAAACAAGCATAGTTACTTGGTTATGCATTTACAAATGATACCTGAATGTTCCCAAAGTTTTTGGAAACATTCAGGTAGCATTTTCAAGTGAATTTAGTGCGAATTAAAGCAAATTCTTTAACATTGCATAGCTGTGTGCCTATCTAGACAAAATAGCATATGTATAATAATATATGTATTTATTCAATTTTACTTATTTTGTTATACAAATATTTTATTAAAAATATTTGGAAAATACAGGGTGGCCACTCAAATTTGAAAATGAAACTCCGTGACTTTTCCATGACTCTTCATAAACTTTTATGATAAACCACTAACCTGTAAATTATTAAGTACTTGCCATGCACTAAGCATTTGGTAAAAAATTCTGAAACCATGTCTGAAAAAAACTCTTTTTCTTTTACTTCTCTGATAACAAAAATATATTTTTGCAAAAAGGACTTAAACTAGACATACTAGTACCTTTCTTTGGACCCTAAAAATATCACAAGCAGAAAAAATAATAATTTTTAAAAGTTCTATGAATTTTCCATGACTTTCAATGAAAATTTAGGAATTCCATGGCTTTTTCCATAACCAAATAAAATTTTATGACATTTCCATAATTTCCATGAATGGAAATCATGGTAATTATGAACCAGTGGTCACCCTGAAATATGAAAATTTTTTTGACTATGTTTCCACACATATAAAAATTTAATTGAGTTAAATTTGTAAATAAGAAAACAATGATTTTAAAATGGTTATAAAAGGTTTAATAAAAAAATATTTTATTTATCTTTAGATAGTGAAGTGGGACTTACTCATGGTAACTACTTGTTTCAGGTGTTTGCAGTATCTAATCTTTCCTGTTCCTTAAAAGTATTTTTCACAAAAGATAAATCTTCTGATGATATAAAAATGAAAGATATGCCTTAAATATTTTCATTGTAATATTTGTACAATGCTTGTTGAGATAAAATATGATTATATTGTAGCCTAGCGTGCTGAGCAAGACCTATAGCCTAGCGTGCTGGTTTATTTAGACTAACTGGCATTAGCCTTTAAACTTAAAGTCATAGAATCTACAGTAGCCTCTTTCCAGTTATGCAGTCATCAACTCAGTAAATGCTTTTAATTGATTAATTGTGATTTCATGAAAATTAAATTGTTCAAGTCTTCATTTTTCCCTACAGCATTGTGAAATGTTAATAAAGTACTTATAAAAAGACAACTCAACATAGAGTCATTATGTATAGATAAAAACATTATTACATTGTCTTTTTCAAAAGTTCAGAATCTGAATAAAGAGATAATATGCTTTCATTGTAATATGTCAAATTCCTCCTTTGTTTTTACTTCATGTAATTGTAACCATCGCTTACTCTCCTACAGAACATGGAAAATGAACTAACTTTTTTGATTTCTTCTATAATAGTCTGATTTTGATCTGTTACAATTTAAATATTTTTTAAACCAAATTGCCAAAAAAAAAAAAAAAAAGCAAGTAAAATAATTAAATTTGGTTGACAGCAAAACAGAGAGATAGAAATTGCCTAAAGAAAAAGTTGTGTCAAATGATAGTTGCTAAAGGTATTTGGACAATTTCAGCACTTGTTAAAAAATCCTTGTTTTAAAAATCAACTAACATAAATAAAACATAAGAAAAAATAACTTTAACAGCTAACTTTACTGTTGTTTACAAAAATTTTTAACATATTTCTTAAAAAGCATACAAATAAATCAAAACCTAAACAATAAAAATTAGCTTTGATATATAAACATTTATAACAACTTTGTACTAAATGTCACAACAAAATGTAAGCTATTATACTATAATAGAAAACCACATAGAAATTTAAAAAAGAAGTTTGTCAGGTTTTTCAAGTTGTGGTATTGTGAAACTTTATAAAAAAAAATCATGACTTAAAACAATCAATTGATTTTTAAAGAAAACTGTTTTAATTAGTTTTCTTTGTTTCTGCAAAAATTTCATGTTAAAAGATGTTTTGAGGCCCTATTATAAACTAGGCCTCCCTTGCTGTAGAGTGTCAAATTTAGGACATTATCAGGGCTTTCAATATAGAACTTAAAATTTATGATTTTTGACAACAGGAAAAATCATAAAAATTGAGTAAATCATCTTTTGCAAACCCAAAACATTCTACTGATTGTCATATTAGCAGTTTGGGTTTATAATTTTACTATACTTACCAGTCATTGAAGCATTAAGGGTGAACAATTTCAAGAGCAAAATAGATAAATTATCTAGTATTATATCGTATTAAGTTATGTAATAATTTAAGTAATAATTAATAAAATAACTTACCTAAATATATTGATGCAAAAAATATGGCAAGAGATACAATTTTCATTTTTAGATTAAGCTAAAAAATTATTTTAATATAAGTGTGTGAATATATATATATATATATATATATATATATATATATATATATATATATATATATATATATATATATATATAAATATATAAATATATAAATATATAAATATATATATATATATATATATATATATATATATATATATATATATATATATATATATATATATATCAAGCTTGGTCGGGAAGCGGGAGCGATCGCTCTCGATTGCTGACCACGTAAATAATATTTAGTTGCGAAAAGCTGGCCAGATTTTTTAGTCGTTTTGAGAACATTTTAAAAAGCAAAAAAAAAAAAAGCGACAAAGAATAATTGGACCGATGAGAGACAATTTCAAAAAAAAAAAAGTAGGCAAATAAAATATCTTTAAACGCGAAAAAACTTTAAGCTAAATAAATTACATTTAAAACAAATATTTTCGAAACATCGCTTTTTTATAATTATTTTTATAAAATTAAGCGATGTTTTTTGTAAAAACTTACGATTGTTTAAAAGGGAAACAAATATTCTTTATTTAACTAAGTTTGCAAGTTTTAGTTTTACTTAAGCTAAATTATTTTATAAATAAAAACGTTAATTTTTTTAATACCTATTTTATGTTTCGCGTAGTTTAACATATTTGAAGCGATTCTTCTTAGTAAGATAAACAAATGAAATAATTAAATCATTGAATTACTATAGGAATTAAATTATCAAGATAGAAATCAACTAAAAAAGTTAAAAACACTTAATGACCAGGAAGCGAAACTGCTTCACAATATCGCTGATGATGTTTAGTGAGTGGGCTTTTTAATTTTAATTAGTATTTAAAGCAGAAAAAAGTATAACGAGTTTTAAGAATGGCAACTTAAGCGAAAATAATTAGAGTTAGTAAACCAATATCTAGAAACTTTTCTTTATATCTAATTATTTGCTATTATATATTTGTGTTCTGTCGTGTTTTGAGAACATTCAAGTTTTTTATGTTTTCATGTATGTCCGTAAAACAAAAATTCTTTGTTTCGTACATAAACTTAAATGTTCTCAAAACGACTAAAAAACCTGGCCAGTTTTACACAACTAAATATAATTTCCGTGGTCAGTATTCGAGAGCGATCGCTCCCGCTTCCCGACCAAGCCTGATATATATATATATATATATATATATATATATATATATATATATATATATATATATATATATATATATATATATATATATATATATATATATATATATATATATATACATATATATATATATATATATATATATATATATATATATATATATATATATATATATATATATATAATATATATATATATATATATATATATATATATATATATATATATATATATATATATATGAGTGCCACAAAAAACAACTTTTTTTGAAATAGTCTGCTGCCACCCCCTAAATGTGTTCTATGTAATAAATTAACACTAAATTAAAAAAAATTTCAGGGGTTGCTTAAGACCCTTAAACATCAAACGAGTCCCTAATATTTTGAAAAAAAAAGTTCTTCAAAAGTATCTCATGTTGGGTCTCAAAAGAAGTGAAATTTTATAAAAATTTAAAAAATAATAATCATTTTTTATAAATGATACTAGTTTAAATTTTATGGCCTAAAAACTATAATTTTTTGACAAAAAATTAAAAGTATATATTTTCAAAGTTTTTTTTTTAAATAAACTTTTTTAAATTGTGTTTCTATAAATTGTTTTTGTTATTTTTGAAATTTTCATATATATATATATATATATATATATATATATATATATATATATATATATATATATATATATATATATATATATATATATATATATATATATATATATATATATATATATACATATATATAAATTATTATAGTATTATTTGCATTAATAATAAAATATTATTAATGCAAATAATACTATAATACTTCCGTGGGTTCCTAAATTAATCCTTATTCTTAGACGTGAGTTTCAAAAAGTTGACATAAAATCAGTTTGGAATATCTTTACTAAACATTTTATGCCAAAACAAACACTTTCAGTTATCCCAAATAATTATTCTAGAAAAATCAGGGAGGTAATTGAAATAGACAGGTTGCAATGTTGCTACCCAAAAAAGAAAATTCTAAACCAGTATAATGGCAACCTAGTGATGACTCACCATTGAAAACTATTTTTTGTTAAATATAAAAAAAACTTTTATAATATTTACACAGCAATAACATTAATATCCTAAATTATTGTAACAATTTTTTGTTACATTTTTAGTTTGAAAATGGTTCCAACTATATGAGCCGAAATAACACAATTTAAAACTTGAGATAATGTCACTTTTTATGATGATGTGTTTTCAATTTTATATATGAATTTTATCATAATATTAAGATAACATTAAATATATATATATATATATATATATATATATATATATATATATATATATATATATATATATATATATATATATATATATATATATATATATATATATATATATATATATATATATATATATAATATAACCTTACCAAAGTCAAACGAGACTAGTAAAAAAAAAGTTTCATTCAATGCCTTTTTTTAACATTAAAGCAACATTAAAGGATCCCAAACTCCCAACACATGTTGTGTTCATAATAAAGATAATGTTGAAAAAAAAAAGATTTGAACCAAGTTTTTTTGATTAAAAATAAATAATGAATGCATACAGAGAAAAACTAATCTTGTTGTTTTAGCAAAAGCTCACCTTCTCCATTTTACTCAAAGACTCTGAGTCTTTAAATTATATGTTGCAATCTACAGACTTCGATGATTTCTTTGAAGCGCGTTTAATTCATAAAAATTTTAGTATTTGACGTCACGGTAGACTTTTGATTAAAAAAAATGTAATTAAACAAGCTGTGTTTTTCTGCTTTATTTCTATAAGTTTGTTTTAGTATTTTTTTAACATAGAGCAAAACGAATTTATTTGTATTGGGTTGAAACATAAGTTTGTAGAGTTTTGCTTTAGAGTTATTTTACAACGATTCATTTTGTTTTTTAGCAAAGTGTATACATTCATTCGAAAGAGCTCTTTCTCGTCTACAAAACAGTTTTATTTGTTTTTTTGGATTTAATTCTTCGTCTTTTTTCTGGCTCAGAAATGGAATACCCAGGAGGAAAAAATCAGCATTTTCGACATCTGCTTTTCTTTGCTTTTCATTGAGGTCAAAAAGCAGCCAAAGCCGCTTGGAACATATGCAGTGTGTACGGGGAAGGTGTCTTAGGTGTGTCTACTACACAAAAATGGTTCGCAAAGTTTAAAAATGGTGACTTTGACCTTAAAGACACCCCTCCAACCAGACGACCTGCAGAATTTGACGAAGAGCATCTGAAGGCACTATTGAAGGAAGATGGTCGCCTAACAACTCTGGAATTGGCTGAAAAATGAACATCAGTGCAATGACAATCTCTCACCACCTTCAATAAATTGGTTTTACTCAAAAACTTGGAGCATGGGTACCTCACGAGCTCAACGAAGAAAACAAAGAAAAACGCCTTCAAATTGCTGCTTAACATCTCCCCTGCCACCGAGCAACACATGGACACAAACAGCGCTTTTTGTATCGAATCATCACGGGAGATGAGAAATGGTGTCTGTACGTCAATGTGAAGCAAAGAAAGGAGTGGGTGGCCCCAGGAGAGACGCCGAAGCCAAGAGTCAAGCAAGATCTTCACCCAAAAAAGGCCATGATCTGCGTTTGGTGGGACTGGGAAGGCATTGTGCACTGGGAAATGCTCAAACGAAACGCCACTGTCAACAAGGAGGTCTACATTGCCTAGCTGAACCGTGTAAATAAGGCTATTTGGCTGAAAAAAACCGATAGACAAGGTCAAGTCATCTTGCTCCACGACAGTGCCAGCCCCCATATTGCTCAAGTCGTCAAAACAGCACTCCAAGAGCTTGAATGGGAGGTTTTTCCGCATCCACCGTACTCTCTGGATCTTGCACCTACCGACTATCACCTTTTCCGTTCTCTATCAAACCAAATGAGGGGTGTACCTTTGATGGCAAAGAGGATCTTAAAAACTAGCTCAACAACTTCTTCAACACCAGACCGACCAATTTTTGGCGAAACGGCATCAACGAATTGGTCGAGAGATGGGAGGAGGTCGTAAACAGTTACGGAGAATATATCATTGATTAATTTATTATTATAATTATTGTTTTTTATTCAAATAAATCTTTATGAAAAAACTCGACAAACTTATGTTACAACTCAATATTATTTTTCCAAACATGACAAAAAAATTTCATAAAAATTAAAATAATAAATTATTTTTATTTTATAGGAGGAACTTATTTTTTACAGATTAATACAACTTATTTTTTAAAGATTAAATACAAATTATTTTTTACATCTTAATAATTTTTAAATTTATATATCTTACTTATATTTCTTTTGTTTTTAAAATAAAACAAATATTAAAGCTTTACTGAATTTTATGATTTTCATACAAGTATTTTACATTATAAAGAACGTTATATATACGATCTTTCGTTTTTGTGCAAGAGAGCGCAGTATTTTATATTCTGAATCTTACTTATTTTCATTTAAACAATGGTAACTATTTTCTAACTTTTCTGATCATTTTTACGCAATGAAATTTTTTGTTTTCCTGTCGCAAAAAAGTATTAACAGTTACTGTCATTAACTGACAGTATTAATTAGAGATATTTGATGAACTGTTAAATTTTTTTATCATAAAAAATTTTTTGATTACGCTGGTTTAATTAAAATTGCTAAATTTGCTAAATTAGATAAAAAAGGAAATATCATTAATTTTTGCATTTTGTTTTGATAACAAAATGTTGGCAACTCCATACCAATTCAAACCTGTTAAGGTTATGAAAAAAAAGTACAAGAATACACTAAATAATACAGTTGACAATAGTATCAGATATGAAAATTTGTGAAAGGAAATGTGAGATCCTGGTTTTGCATTACAAGTACAA